TAGATAGATAGATAGATAGATAGATAGATAGATAGATAGATAGATAGTCTGTTTGTTTACATAGTCTGAACACCAAAAATATTATCACTATTTTAATGTTTCTAAAATATTTTGGTGGAATAATTTTGTTTCTTGAATGTGAAAACCATAATGTTATTTATTCTTTGCAACTGAAAATGTAACAAAGAAGGAGGAAATGTCATTTATGTGCCATAAAAGATTAATTAACACATATACAGCAAGAAATGTGCAGAGGTTTAGGTTCATGGCTGGAATACAGGACCTCACATTTATTAGAACTGGACTAAAGATAAATAAAAATGAAACAAGCATCCTGAAGAATTCATTTTCACGGTTGCTTTTTAAGATTATAGGAAAGTCTTTTCAAAATGCAAAACTAAGTGAGAGAGCACTCAAACTGTCAAAATCAACAGATTTAAAAACAGTCTTTTTTATCGCTTGGATGATACACACACACACACACACACACATCAGTTTCATGTATTTTCTTTTGGACATTCTCAGAAGTCAATTTTCCTGTTAAGGCATTGTTAAAAATAGTTTGATGGCTTGTAACAGCCTTTCAAACTTTAACTTTCTAAGGTGACACATTTAAAAAGAAAGCAGGAAGTGAAAGTTTGTGGAATGACAGTTTGTTGAACGAGGTGAAAGGAAAACACAGGAGGAAAATTCTCTGCCTTCATGGCTTTACGCCACAGTGGCTAAGAATGTAAATCTGAGATGCTTCTTGAGTTTTATTTTCTATCATCTTACACTTGATGTGTCAGTCACTGTTAATTACAAGTCACATTGTTAGGCAGCCCTTTGTTTCTGTTTCTGTTTATGCATTCAGCAGAAGATTTTATCCAAAGCGACTTACAAAGTAGAAACAATGTTACAGTTGTCATAAGATCTCTAGAGGAAAATCCATAGTCAGAATCAGTGGGGACAGCAAAGAGAGAGCGGGAAGTGCAGAAAGAGTAGAATAGGGGGTTTAGAGGTATGGGGAAGAGTTAAGATAGGACATTGGTAACAATGTCCAGGTGGAAGAACAAATTGGTGAGGTGTGTCATTTTGATCTTTTAATCCACTTAACTTACAGGTATAGGAGTGTGTGTGTGTTCGTTTTATGAGGGTTTGTCTATGGTTTAGTTTGACATTAAATCAGCTCTGAGATGGTGGAATGCTGCTATTAAAAGTGTCATTAAACAAATAAAATGTGTTGTGTTAGACCAGGAACAAGCAACGCATTCTAATCAGCCGTCCAACCAGAAAGAAATCGCACATTGTCCCTTAACCCTGACGGGAACCTTTTTGTTTTCCTTTCTTGTCAGCAGAGGACCGAGTTGTTGGCTATTGCACAACATTCAGCCCTTATTCAAAACTTCCTTGAAGGTTTTTGCCTGTGCTCTGTAACAGACTGCCCAATGTTTCACATTAGACACACAGGCACCTCCATCCACATGTTGATAAGCTCCAAATTCATGGTGAAGGAAATGTTATTTAATGCTAAGGTTTCACCTTCTTCCAAATTGTTTAGTGCTATAGGTGAAGGTTAAGTTGATTTCTAGCCGTCCCAAAAAATGGCCCGATGCTTGAAGTTGTTTAAAACCCTGAATGCTTTGACTATGAAAACAGTGATACAAACCCAGGTGCAAAAAAAGCTGGCGCAAGCCCAAGAGAAATCAGGTCCGACAAGAAAGATGTAAGTTCAACGTCAGGAACCCGTTATTGCTCAATGTGGGTCTTCACTGGGAAACAACACGCTCGTTATTTGCCATAAATCTGTTTGAGAAAAGGGGACTGAAACCTGGCACAGTTAGAGTTATTTCAAAGAAATCCTCGCTGTGACCCATTTGACACACAAATATGTGACTATAAAAGCCCAGTTAAAGCTTTGTCATTGTCCTTGACAGACCGTTTTTCTTGAGAGAGATTGTTTTTCTTTATGTGCCACAGGCCCATTCCCCACGTGCGCTCTCCGTACATGACGGTGCCTGTCACTGTGTCTGTTTGAGCAGCAGAGCCTGGGATGGTGTGACTTCGCCCTCAGGCCGCACTGTGCAGTCTTCTCAATACCCCATGGTGTTTGCTATTGTGAGGGCTGCTAGGGCCTATAACTACCCCCCTACACCCCCCCCCCCCCCTCTTAGCACACAGGCTCTTTTGAGGAGGCTATTGAGCAGGGATTGCCTTAATACCAAAGGGAACCCCCCCCTCCATCTCTGGCTTTTTCCTCCAGTGCTCCACAGGTTTGAATACGGTGAATGACGATAGGCCTCTCATCTGTACTCCAAGAAAGCTTCATCCGGCCCTCTTTTATCTCTCTTCAGGCAACAAATATCAGGTGTCCAGACTACACAGAACGGAATCGGATGTCTGTGAATGAAGAGGAGACAAAATGCCCAAGGACAACAGCTGTTTGAGAGTTTGCAGCAGATGCTGGTATAGTTGCCACTGGAGCAAGCCGAGTGGCAGTCAAAAAGTGAGTGTTTTTGGTCATGCTGTATGTGTTTAAGCGTGCACGAGTAAAAATGTTCAATCTGTCAATGCTTCATTTTCTACAGCGATGGTCATCCATAGCTCCACTGATTTTGGTGTCCAGGTTCTTGGACAAATTGCTGAGCACAACCTTTACAAAGCCGAATAATCAGGGATTAACATTCTTCAAAGACCGATCACGGCATTCAAATTGACCAGTGCCTTATATAAATCCCATGCTTTGATGGTTCAAATGCACACTTCAGATTGGATTAAAGTATTCACATAGTTTTCGAGCTCAGAGAGTGAGCCGGAAAAAAAATACGGGCAGCTTTGTGTACCTAAGAAAATAAATAAACTCACAAGCTGGGACAGGCTCGTTGGGGGTTTATCCAGAACTGGTTCCTAAAGCAGGGGGTGGAGGTTTGTGGATCATTTTGCTCATAAATGAAAGTGTGTTGAAAGAGCATGAAAGGGTTGTTTGTGTTGGGCTGTCATAATGTGATGGCACAAAACCAACTATGTAAAAATGTTGGAGATCTTCCACTATCTTATCTAGCAGCAAACATTTCATATTCACACATTCAAATAATCCTCATCCTTTGACCCTTGAAATAAACAACAGTTTTTTGTCCCCCTTTTCAGTGCCCATGCTGCTGGTTCTCAGTCGTCTGCGTGGTCGCTCTGCTGTCTCTGTGCTGGATGTACATTTGTGCGGTTACGTTTAATGACAGAGAGGATGTTAATTCGTGAGTAAAATCTTCAGACCCTACAAGAGAGAGATAAAAAAAAGTCTAGAATTTTCTGCCTTTGTCGGTTTGAACGGGCGACCTCTGCTCTGCTAACCCTGTGCTTACCTCTATTGTTCCATTATCAGGGAGGCATTCACAGCACTGAAGCGCTGGGTGAACTGGTTCATGGTGCTGCTCATCATTTCTGCCGTGTTAACCTGCTACTGTCTACTGCTGCTGGTGAGAAGTAGCACCACTAGTATCCGTTTGAAACAAGCTGGGCAGCAGGGAATTGTGATACATGCTTGTCTCTCATCTAGCTTTCAAAACAGCTTTAAAGCTAGAGTGTAACTGAAAACAGACAGCAATACGATAGTGTGTCTGTGTTCCACCTCTTTTTGGGTTCAATTTAGATCCCCTTATCTTACAAAGGCAACATTACTTACTGAGGGTTAAAAAAACTAATTGACTTAGAAAGGTTTGAAAACTGTTAAAGAGAGGACATTAATATACATTCAGCACACACCTGTCTTCAAGCAGGCTCACAATTAAAACTTTCTGTCAAAGCAGTCCAATGATTAGACTCGATTTAAAGTCTTTAGCAGATAACGTTGCTTGTTTTGAGTTGTAACATTTTATTCAGAAACAGTTTCTTCAGAAATTGTTACAAAATCCTTTTTTTCTTGAACTTTCACTGTTCGTTGCAGCTCTTTGCGCTGGTCCAAGTAGCCTTGAGAGAACCACTGAACTTACACTGCCTCCATAAGGTATTCTAAAACTTTGCATGCTTAACTTGAAGGATTAACTTTGTTCATATTTCTAAACGCCATATTTGCGTGAATTCTGCACAGGTTTTCCTCGGTTTGGGGGTGCTGTTCATCGCTCTGGGAGTCGCAGGAATAAGTTGCAAGTGGCGCATGGAATGGCCAATTATTCCTCTGTCTTTGCAGGTATAGTGAAGACTGTATCTGCATGGCCTTAAAAAGACTCTGAGTCGTGTGTGACCGTCCTGTGTTTCTGATGCCCACCCCTTGGTAGGCCATGGGTCCTTTCTTGCAGTTTGGTGCTGTCGGAGCCTTGACTCTTCTAAGTTCTTTCGTCTTCCAGAGCTTCCACGTGGCCAAAGGCGGTACGTGTCAGACACTGCATGAACACATTACATCTGACTGTTAAAGTTAAAAAAAAACCCACAATCCTTAAACTATTTGGAACGCGTTAGATTCCGATGTAATCATTTAGAGCAACATGGCAATAGAATTCCAAGTACTCTTAGTGCAGTCACAGTTTTTAAATAATGACCAAGCACAAATAAAATTGGATCTGTGATTCCAAAGTATTTCCAAAGGCATAACCTTTTTTTTTTTACACGTCATGTTTCGTTATTTCTGAAGGTATTTTAATATACCTGTGTTCTTAGGCTTACATTATGTAACTTTGCAGAGAGTTCACTGCAGGGTCACTGCAGAACAGAAACAATCCTGAATTTTCTTAGTTTGGGATTTTAGCAGATCTAAAGCCAACGATGTAGCATTTGGCACAGTACAATTCAAAAGATCTCTGTGTGTATTTTTCTGAGGTCCCCTGAAAGTTATGTAACAGAGAATACTCTCATATCCCTAAATTGAATCAGTCCAATAGCTGCCAGATAAATCATTATAAAAGGGGATCAGATGTGTTTTCCCGCCCGGCATGAGAGAGATTGCTCAGTCAAGAATTTCTGTTTGCATTTTAAAAAATTGCATTCTCTCTCTGCTGATAATACGTATGTCTGTTGGTATGTCTGTTGGAATGAATCCAGTTTTGAATTTCGTCACACTGACAAACTAGGCTTTTGCTGATTTGAGCGGCATTTTATTTGTCTCAGAGAAAAAATAGAGAAAAGAACACTGCTGATCTGCAGAATTAATGTAGCTGAAGATGCTGTAGCAAAAGTGAAAACCACACATTAAATGTGAATATGAAGTGATCTGACCATTAACATGATTGTGGACAATAGTTAAATGAAATGAACAGATTAAAAGTCAACTTGAAACTTAAAAAAGAATCCAAACCTTAACTTGCAATCCGAAACTGAAAAAGAACATTTGAAGCAAAAAAACTCAAAAGAAATTACTTGGAAAGGAAAAAAAACACATCAGAAACAGAAAAAATCCAACAAGGTAGGATTATTTTAAAAAGCTGAGACATTTGGAAATGGCTTGGTGTATTACCACCATTTTAAAAGTTAAAAGCTGTCTCTATCTGAAAGTATGCTGAACTAGTAAGCTTTGAAAAAATGTTCAAGGATTTTTTTTGTAATCTATAAAAGACTGTTTGGAAACACATAAAACCTGCAGTGAACAAAACAGATAAAGAATAATACTAGATCTGTTACAGGATTGGATAACGACCAATGAAATGTGCTATTTTCTTCAGTAATACTCATGGTATACTTTTAAAGAGTTTTCTGTCAGACTTAAGGATGACAAATATCTAAACATTGCTGCTTTATATCTTATTTCTCCAGCATCTAAATTCCTGATCGCGATGGTGTTTGTAACTGTGTCACTTGCCATCTTCCTGTGCCCCCTGATCATCCAGTCACCATGTGTGATAAACCTGGAGGATTTACCTGAAAAGCCTAAACTCATTGGCCACAGAGGCGCACCGATGGTGAGCATCCTGGGCTTGAAATCGTTGTTTAATTCATTGCACTTTGAGTTTAATCTGTGAAAAAAAGAGGAGGAAACTATTTACAGGGATTATGTTTATGACTCGTGATTTCTGAGGGTCTCAGAAAGCTGTTATCATTTCAGAGTGAAGTAAAAAAATTATGGCTAAGACTTAGAGACAAAAATCTGTTATGATAAAAGAGTTTATTCATAGAATCCAACTTAATTGGTTTCTTAAATCACGACAAACTCCTTACATGAACATTTTCAAATACATGAGCTTTGGACATTAGCTTCCAGCTTCTTCCACTGCATGACACGTTGATATATACAGTATACATAAACAGAAAGCAGGCTCAGGTGTGAGCAAATATACAGCCATTTCGGGGAACCATATGCTGTGCAGCCTTTGCCCTCATCAGTTTACCCTGGTGCTGGGTCACCCGCAAGCTCCATTTAACAGTCCTATCCGTATGTCCTCCTCGTGTTAAGCTGGCCCCTGAGACTCCTTACATGAACATTTTCAAATAAATGAGCTTTGGACATTAGCTTCCAGCTTCTTCCACTGCATGACACGTTGATATATATACATAAACATAAAGCAGGCTCAGGTGAGAGCAAATATACAGCCATTTCGGGGAACCATATGCTGTGAAGCCTCTGCCCACCTCAGTTTACCCTGCTGCTGGGTTAACAGTCGCATCCATATGTCCTCCTCGTGTTAAGCTGGCCCCCGAGAACACCATGATGTCGTTTAACAGGAGCATCGCATGCGGAGTGACGGCCTTCGAGACCGATGTGCAGCTCAGGTACAGATAAGATATGCTTTGCTCTTCTGTGGAATGGATTTGTATGTATTTAGCAGCACTGCACAGATACGCTTTTTAAAAACAGATGCCAATTTTTTGTCAGGTGTAAACCTGATTTTCCCTCTTAAATCATCTCTACAGATATAGAATATCACTCAAATAATGAGGAAAATTGTATATTTTGTCTTTCAAGACAGGGATCGTTTTTAATGTCTTTTTGAATTTAGTAAAGACAGAACGCCGTTCTTGATGCACGACAACAAGGGCGAATTCTTGCTGAGAACAACAAACGTGAAGGAGAAGTTCCCCAATGACACCTTCAATAACAGCACTTACCTGACCTTAGAGGAGTTACAGAGCCTGAACGCAGGCGAATGGTTCCTTAAGGTGAGGAATGCACCCCTCGCAATGCTGGAGTGTAGAACCAACTTCCAGATGCACGAAGCATTTAACATTGTCTGTCTTTTTAGACTGATCCCTTCCAAACAGTGTCCCATTTGTCAGAAGAGGAGAAAAAAACAGCGGGAAACCAGACCATACCCTCACTACTTGACCTTCTTCACCTGGCCAAAAACAACAATATCTCAGTGATATTTGACCTGAAGAGTCCTGACCCAGACAATATCACTGTGAATACTATTTTGGAGTCTAAGATTGACGAAGGCCTAGTAAGTCTAATCCCTGACATGGACATTGATGGAGACATTTCATTCTTAAACACATAGTCAAGGTCATATTTTTTTCGCATAGGTCCTCTGGCTTCCTTCAGCCGAGAGAGAATATGCAGAGAAAAATGCTCCGGGCTTCATCCAGGTTTACAGCAATGAAAGTGAGATGCTTGAAAAAGGGGGACGCCACCTCAATGTGAAATACAGCAGCCTGGACATGGATAAAATCAGGTAAACAAAGAGCCATCTCCTAGCAGATTATCTGCAGCTTGTGTCGGTGCCGACAGGCAAGTAAAGCAGCGTGGCAATTAGAGGGTGATTTGCATGCCGGGACACGGTGCTAGTGCCCAATGCAGAGAAAACCAGCCTTTAGGGAATTCAGATTTGAGTGTTGTCCCAGCCCAACATAGTTGGAAACCAACTGCAAAACAGATACCAAATTATGACAAACATGCAGTGTAGCAACATGTGCTGAGAAGACACAGAAGGGCTGCCCATAGAGAGATGATTAATGAGTTTGCATGTTCTCCCTGTGTTCTCTCCCGGTCCTCCGGCTTCCTCCCACAGTCAAAAAACCTGCATGTTAGGTTGGTTGGACATTCCAAATTCCCCTTAGGAGTGAGTGTGAGTGGTTGTGTGTCTCTGTGTGGCCCTGCGATGGACCCCGCCTCCTGCCTATTGATGACTGAGATAGGCTCCAGTTTCTCCCCGCGTAACTGCTTACGATAACGGATGGATCTTTTTAAAGTAAAGTTACACAGAGCACCGTCAGTTAAAGAGGAAGTCTGTAGGAGAAACACTTGTTTTGGAGTTCGGACGGTAACAAAAGAGGGTACAGGAAGGCTGTCCTCTACACCCCGCTCCCTTTTCTTTTAATGGGATATTGAAATCATCAGACAATCTATTTTCATATATGAACACATGCACACATATCTATCTATCTATCTATCTATCTATCTATCTATCTATCTATCTAT